AGAAATAAACTGAATAGAATTGACGGAGAAGATAGCAGGAGACAGCAGAGCATTATGGGGGACGAACGTAGTAATTTAAATGCAGACGCTGCTTTGCTCAGCTTTACTCTGCAGCACTCGACAAACAACTTCTCACTGCTGCAAGAGCTTAAAGGAATTACAAGCAGAAAAATTAGGCTATCACCACATAATGTGGCAATTAGCCAATTATTTTTTTTTCTGTTTTACAACTGTAGCCTACAGTCATTGCATTTAAGGCAGAAATATGTTTACAAGTTTGCTGTTGCACCAAAAATGTGCAATATTTATGCATTATTTTATATTCATTTTTACACTTTGAAGTTAAGCAGGACAAGATTATGTTTAAGATACTTAAACATAATCCAGCAAAGTTTGTTATTTTGTATTAAAGTGAGTTGCTGGATAATAATTTGTTTTCCATGTGTTCATGTCCCTCATAAGTATGCATGTAATTCAATGCAGATTTGAGTCAAATAGTGAAAAAAAATCATTTCACACACAAAGGGGGGCTAAAAAAAAAAAAAAATCACTATGCAAGGAGGGGTGATGGCAACCGGGTCAGCTGGCACGCACATGAGGTCACCCTTTTTTTTTTTTTTTCCAGGGAGTTGCCAACCCTACTGAAGACCCAACTCTACTGTTTAACTTTGCAATTAACTTCATTCTGCAGCTGATTCCTGCTGAGTGGTTCATACCGCTTTACTGGCTTTCTTCTCTTCTCCTTTTTTGTCGTTTTTCTTGTGAGCTTCAAAGGCGGCCGGGTCGACGACGTACAGGCACTCCGTCCACTTCCCGTATAACGCGCACAGCTTCTTTTTGCTGTGAACCACACAGACATGCACATGTCCTTAGGCACAAACACGCCACCGATGATTTCAGACGGGTTTTAAAGGTAAAAGATGAAAACATTGATGGAAACAAAGCCTCACGGTTCAATACATCAAGTGCTTTGAAGAATAGTTTCAGACAAATTTGCACTAAAAAGAAAAAGGAGACTCTTCTGAAATTTCAACTTTTCCTGTTATGACATTTTCTCTAATGAGCTTTTTTTTTTTTCAGAAGTCAAAAATTGTTATTGAGCTAAAGCACCCAGCTGTTTATTCTAAGCACAGCTGCATTTTGCACCTCTACATAAACAACTGTTGCTTTCTTTTTCTAAGTTAGAGCTGAGTGCTATAAACAGGCATAAAGCGTATTGGTAAATATTCACTTTTGGGTTTATTGCTGCTTTCAATGGTTCATTACTCTACATACTCAAACTTAATAAATAACCACTACATGTGTTTCAAATAGAACATTTCTAACTCCATTGAACCCCTTCTTGCTATCTCCTATTTAGATACTAGGTTAAAACCGGGCATAAAGTTACTCTTAGCATCTATTATAGCTTATCTGCTGTGTGATACTTTGCTAACACAGAAAGTCAAAGGCCGTTTCTCAGTCTGTGTACTTGTGCGTTCTCGTTTCCTCGTGAAACGTCATCAGGCTCAGCCCTAGCACTGTTCCAATTCACAAGAACAAGAAGGTAGAGAACGGACAAAGTCCCCGGATGTTGTTCTGGCTCCTCCCCTCTTTACCCAGCATGCATCAGAGCAGACTCGTCTGTTCTCCAGACTGACAGCTGTCCCTGCATGCACTGCAGCAGCAGCTTCCAGGTTAAGCTAAAAGTTCTCTTTTCTGTTGCTGTTGTTCAATAAAAGTACGTTTTAAGATAATTTTTGCGAGAATATTATACTTTAAAGTTGCAGCGAATTCATTTTTATTTGTCAAATTATTCTGGCTTAAACATGTGTAGAAATGTCCTCTTTATCAGACGATATTGTCCCAAAATGTAGAAAATTTCTTAAAAAAAAAAAAATCCTGTATTAAAATCGGCCAATCATATATCAATGCTCATCTGTCAATCAA